TCGCTAGGTTCTACAGGAAATTATACGCTGAGTTCTGCTCTCACAGAGCAAATGATGATCCTTTAAAGAGAGTTCTTTCGGGGCTGGGGAGATGGCTCAGTGGAATAAGTGCTTCCCTGGCAAGCACAAGGGCCTGAGTTCAATCCCCGGTTCTGCCAAAAAACAAAGCAAAACAAGAGAGTTCTTTCTGCTGAGTGTAGCAGCCCAACACTGGTAATCTCAGCATTCCTAGCTCTGGGGAAGCTGAAAGCTGGGGAATGTAAATTCAAGGCCAGCTGGGACTACATCACAGGACCCTGTCTTAAAAAAGCAAAACAAAATAGATCAGGTATATTTGGCATTTTCCTGTTCCCCAGCACTCTGGAAAAGGGAGACAGGAGGATGGTAAATTGAGTCCAGCCTAGGCAACTTACTGATTTAGTGAGATGTATCTCAAAATAAAAAAAATAAAAAGGGCTGGGAATGTAGTTCAATGCAAAGACTTTTGGTTCAATCCTAGCACCACAGAAACCCAAACAAAATACTCTCCAAAATTGCCTTCATCAATGAGAATATCCTGAGGCTAGGTATCCTGTGTCACTTGGAGGAGAAGAGGGCATGGATTGTCCTTTTCCCCTTCCCTCCCTCCTTCCTCTCTTCCTTTTTTTTTTTTTTTAAGATACTGAAGATTGAACCTAAGGAGTGCTGAACTACATCCCTCACCCTTTTTGTTTTTATTTTGAGACAGGGTCTGACTTTGTTACTTTCTTGTTACTGGGCCAAAATACCCAGCCCCCCCAAGTTAAAGGAGGAGAGTTTGTTCTGGCTCATAGTTTGTGGAAGTTTCAGCCCATAGCTCACCGGCTCCAGGGGAGGCTGGTATGGCAGAGAGATGCTGCTCATGGATTGGCAGCCCGAAGCAGAGAGCAGGGGAGAAGAAGGTTACGCGTCCTGCTAGGCCGTGTCTCGCGACTCACCTCTTTCTACCAGGTCCCCAGGTCCCGCCTCCCAGTATCACACCCAGCTGTAAACCCATCAGTGATGAGTGTCACACACCACGATCCAGACCCCTCCACCTGTGAGCACATGAGGCTGTGGAAGGGCCCCTAGACACAAACTGTAGCAGTGTCTCACTCAATTGCCCAGGCTGTCCTGGGACTTGGACTCATCTTACCTCAGCTTAGGCTCAGGTGTGTACCACTGTGTCTGACTGGCCTGGAGACATTTTTAACCCATAGGAAGGTCCAGGTCAGGGAGTGGTGTCAGTGCCACTTGACACTGGCGGGGAGGTTGAGGCTCTGGCTGTGATGCCATGGTGTGAGGGGCGCTGGGCCTCTGAAGCTGTTCCTGGGTTCGCTGGGCAGTCTCTTGGCGTAGTTCTGGCAGTTCCTTGTTCACTGAGAATCAGGCATGTGGGGTGTGTACATTGTAAGAACTGGGAAAGAGTGGGGACAGTGTGGCTTTTTTTTTTTTTTTTTGAACCGGGGATTGAACTCAGACCCTGTGCTTGCCAGGCAAGTGCTTATTCTACTAAGTCATCTCCCCGGCCCACCAGTGTGGCTTGTAAGCTGACAAGGCAGGATGTATGAGCTGACCTAGACTTGCAGTAAATTTTACTTTTCAGAAATCACTTAACCTTATTTTAACCTTTGAAGTCAGTGTGTGTACTTTTGAATTCCTGACTGTGATGGTCTGCAGAAAAACCTTTCACTAAGAAATGTGCTTA